TTCTTTGGGCAGTGGACTCAGTGGTTAGATTGAAGAGGTTTAAACTGGGATTTGTTTGGCTGATATTCCAACAGTGCTAATCGGAGACTAACCTTTTGTTTCTGTGGTGGAGCTTGAAGAGGAGCTTTGCTAAACTTAATTCCAGCTTGTTAGAGGAATTATTGGAACATGTTCCTGTATAAATAAAACATATTTGAGCCTAATAATTAAGATAACACAGTCCATTTAGTCTAAATTAGCCTGTCAACATTATTAATAGGTCTTAATTGTTATGATTTGGTTTAAAGCCTGGACCCAAAAGCACGACTCAGGAAACAGGTACACAGTGAATAACAAGTCTTTAATGTTCAAATGTGCAGAACAGTGCAAGGGGGAGGGGTGGAGCGTGGTCCCAGGATCCCGACGTGTTCCTTGAAGGCACCGGTGAGGAGGAGAGTGAGAGTGTCCGTGGTGTGGCGTCCGCCACGTGGTAATGGCGGCGGTGCTGCGGCACGGCGCAGTAGGTTCCGTCTTCTCGAGCGTACTCACTCCGAGGGGAAACACAGGAGAGCTGACGGCAGCAGGAAGGTCCACAGGCAGGCAGTGAAGTAGCTCACATGAGATCAAACACAGAGGAGCCAGGATACAAACTACTGCGCAGACGGATGAAACGATCTGGCGACGAGTAGGGAGGAATCCAGAGGCTTTATGGAGAGGTTGATTACTGGAGTGGATTCACCTGGCACTGCCTGTGGAAGGAAGCCACGCCCACATGCACACACACAGAACAGACAGGGGGAGAAACACAGGAGGAGTAATACAGACAGGGAATGACACACACACACATGAGGGAGAGGGAGGGGCTGTCATGATGAGGATCATGACATTAATGATGTTTATTAATATGTTTATCACAAGGTGGCTTCTCTGCATTCAGCTAATTATTATTAGCAGTGTTGAATGCAAACACATTTGTCCAAGCACTATTAAAACCTCTCTAACTCCTTTATTTGGTGATATTTTATGGTGTTTCTGTGTCATAAACAACATCAGCTATCACAATCACACCTGATTTCAATAAGGTACAATGTTTGAAGCTGGCTGAGTGTTGTTTGATCACTGATAGTACTGTTTTGAAGCTGAGTGACCGACTTGTCATTTGGAGCTCCGCCTGGATCTTTTCATGGAAAAAACACTGTAGAATGGTCATACTTTGAGCAATCCTCTTCAAATTTGAAACAAATATTCATTGATAGTGTGCCTACAGCCCCACAGTGTCATTTACCTGCTCAGATGAAACCACAGACCGTTATTCATCCTGAAAAACATTTTTTATTTTATTTTAGGCAAAATCTTCAATTTTTTTACTGACTTCAGAGGCCCATTACTCTGTCTCTGTATCACCTAGAGTGTTTCTGACACTTTCACAAGAAACTTCAGAGAGTTTTCTTTCTGGCAAGACCTCATGCATGCATGTAGTCAGAGTGGTTCAGAAGCTACAGTCATTTTAATTTGGGTATGTCATTTTAGGCGTTTTTGCTACAAAATGGGGGTGGAGTACAAGAGACATGTACATGTGACTTTAGAGCCACAGGTTTCCTACCTGTTTCCTTCCTGGTTGCACAGTTGTCTGCACAGTAACCTTGGCCGTCTCATTCTTGTAAACACGATATCTCAAAACACTTTTCTGGCCATAACTCAGCATCATATCTCAGGAACAGAAAGCGGAGACATTTGATCAGATACTGAATTGGTGACTCTAATCTTGAGACTGTGCTGATTGTATAGATCTTCTGTGCTGCTGGTTTGAAGATATGTGTGAAGTTAGAATTTGTAGTGTCTCTGCAGCATATCTGAGGCATTATCAGCTGTCATGGCTACGTATGACTCTAGACAGACACAGATGTTAACTGTAAATGCCACTTGACTGGTCTGCGGAGGCATACCACTGATCTTTTCCTGATCATAACCATATAATAAAGTGTTTTTTGTGCCTAAACATAGTTCGACTTATCTGCTATGTAAAATGTACAAAGGTAAGGTATCTGTGGTTTGCAGAAACGTACAATGTCAATATTTATTCTTTTATCCAGCATTTCGTCCATATACAAGACAAACCATTCATGGTCAATAACTATTTGTAAAGAGAACTCTGTACGAGCCAAAAGCATCAAAGACCATTCCAACATGGCCTCACTCTGAAGTCGTCGAATACCGGTGCTTGGTCGGTGACAAAAGAAACCCTGTCCTTTCATGTCGGCATGGAAGGATGGCTTATTATTATTGTTAAATGGTGCCCAGTGTTGTGTCAGGGGGAAACACGGCGGGACGACAGTTAAGAGGGCGGAAAGGGTGGTTGATGGGTCCAGCGACCACCAGCTCATCCGGGAGGTCGGTGTTCGCCTCCTGTAAGATTGTAAAACCAAACTCTGTTTTCTTTACGTCACTGAGGTTAAAAATCTATTTTATCTTTCTTTTCTTTGAGCCAAGACAACAGGAGTTACCAAAAACAAAAAAGAAGTTTAACCACAAACTTCCATTAAAACAGATAAAACATGAGGAGAATACTCAAGTGTTACACAGATGTGATCAAAATTTGAGTCTTCTGGCTGACTCAAGAATAACCTCCTGTGGGTTTTCCTTTTTATACTGCATGGATCCATCGATTAACTGAGCAGACGGCTGTCCCTCTGTGGTATGAATAAACCCAGCGCCCCCGCCCAGCTCAATCACTGATGTCTGTCTAATGAGGAATTTAAAATGCAGCTACACATAAAGAATAATTATGGTGAGAGTGACAGAGTTCCATTGTTTTCTGTCTTTGTCCTCCAGTCTGCAGCCGTCCGACACCTTGCTGGAGTTTCTCATTAACTAACAAAGAGCCAGGAGCCACTAATGCTGTCAAGAGAAAATTGATATCATTATTGGATGATTTATGTTTGTGTTCAGTCCAGAAAATCTCAAAGGGCTCATTTCATAATGGTTTTTACTCTTTTATTCATGGGGCAGCCTTTTGAGGTCCAATTTAATCTGTTTATTCATAGATCCATGTCCAAATGTAGTCAAACACCTCAGTGTGTGTGTGTGTGTGTGTGTGCTGGAGAATTTGGAGAAGACGTGTGTTTCTCCTGGTAGCTTTGGGAGGTGGAAGGTTGCAGGTAGGAGATGATGAGGGTGGGGCGGTGGATGGGTCACAATAAACTAGATTTGTGTGCAGGACTCTCTCTGGAGTTGCATGATTGGATCCAAACTTTGAGTGAACTTTGAGTCATTTTAAGGTTTGACCTCACCATGTCTCTTTTCATGAACGTAACCTCCGTAACTTTACATTGAGTACATAACTGTATGTTAAGGATGTAACGTCATTTTTGGGGCACATATTCGTAGGATACAAACTGTTGTGTGTTGTGTCACTTTTTTTTCTTTGGACATAATATGACTATTCTATGAGAATACATTGCAGCAATGCCCCATGGGAGGTGACGTGTCCTGTAGGAGCGTCTGTGCTCTCCAGAACTGCTGCAAGGTGTTACAGCTCAGAGTGTGTGCTTGTGGTTTTGAGGATGTTTGTACGCATGACATTAAGATGTGGAATCATACAGCAGTATTGTTCTGATATATGCTGATGATCAGATTTTATTCCTCAACAAACTGTAACAAGTCAGAAACTTGTCAACCAGCTCAGTCGCCAGGAAAAAGTGTTGGCAGTGTTCATTTCTGCAAACCACAAATAAGTGACGTGTTCCTTTCATACATGTGATATCAACGTTTGTAAAGTGACGCAGTGAATGAGCTGACTCTGTCATCAGGAGGTGGAGGGTATGGTGGATGGTGTGACACCTTGACGAGACGTTTGCAAAGCTGCAGACCGTTGTTTAAGACCAACAAACAGGGGTGCTGCCGGGGATTATTGGCCCCATTAAAAGATATCACATTTGGCCCTTAAAGGGATAGTGCACCCAAAAATAAAAATTCAGCCATTATCTACTCACCCTCATGCCTTTTAAGGCCCTTCATAATCAAGCCTCTTCGTACCTGTCTGAACTCCTACATATCTACACACCCTCATAATTATGGCAACACAGCCTCTTAAGTTGAATTAAGCCTATCAATCTTACTAATAGATCTACATAATACATAAGCATTCATTAATATATTTTAACACAAGGTGCCAAGCTGTGGGCTGTTTTTGATTATTTGGTACTTTGCTTTTATCAACAACGCTGCAAAGTTAAACAATTACCCATTCCCTTTTTGGATTTGGAATCCATAGCTAGCCCATCTAGGAAGATGCAAGATCACTTCAGCCATTGCTTGTAATTTTTTACGAGGAAATGGCGCCAGACCAGACCAGACGCAGATTTTAGTTGATGAAATGTTAAATTTTTTTTCTCGTTGTATAGGCTATGCATTTTTACATTTGAAGAATGTAAGAATCACTTTTAGCCTACAACAATCAATGAAAATTAAAATGTATAATTTTCTGTCAAAGCTACAGACGAGGGGCTAAAGAGCTGGAGGTTGCTGACTGACCCCTGTCTTACATTCTCTTCTGCAATCCAACTCACATCACCATCTACACACTTCTAGATCCTTCAGACATTCTGACCCTCACGTCTGGAACTCTCTCCAATAAGACATTCACAACATTGACTTCCTTTACTCTTCAGATCCTTCAAACTGTGCCTTGTATGGCGCCCTTGAATGCTTGAAAAGGTGTTTATAAATAAAGTGCATTATTATCATTTTTATTATTATCTGGTTATTACTCACCTGCTGCAGCAGTTCTCCAACTGACCACTACAGTACATCACAGAGCTTCAAGAACCAAGTGTATGGAGCGTACATGTCACATCCTGTGTCTGAAATATTAATTCAGGTCCATTAAAGTTAAATGACTCTCTGTTTTTCATGTTCCCTTCCTCCTGTTTGCTTTTGAGTTAAATAATGAGCCTTTGACCGTGCAGAGACCTGTTGCTCTGTGGACGTCTGATGGATGTTTGTCTCTCTGTCTCCGTCAGGTATAAGGCAATCGTGAACCCGATGGACATCCAGACGTCCAGCGCTGTCTTCTGGACCTGTCTGAAGGCTGTTTCTATCTGGCTGCTGTCCGTGCTGCTGGCTGTTCCTGAGGCCATTTTCTCTCAGGTCGTCCCCATGCAGGTAAATTACAGACACTGAGAACACAACAGATACCAACTACAACAAACACTACTGTACTACAACCTATCCACCTGTCAGAAATCTGTAAAAGAAGCAGGTCATCCTGTTTCTCCAGTGTCATTTCAGTACACCGTCATAACCACATAATTCTCTTCAAAACAACTAAATCTGTAATCAAATCTTCTCTTAACCAGCGAAATCAAGCCACCCCAGTGATCTGTGAACAATTTTTATTCTTCTTCACAACCAATATAAATGAAATAAGACTCTTGATTGGTCAAGCCACCAGTGATCCTCAAACTCCACACTACAACCCTTCTGCCATACATCAATATCAAACTGAACCCTTCATTGTGTTCTTCAGATTTTATGCCTCCTAGATTCCTTAAAGACGTTTTTAACAGTGTTGTTCCCATCATTTTATCAATTATAAATAGCTCTCTTTTCACCGGCAATGTTCCCTCCTGACTTAAGCATGCAGTAGTTCACCTACTTCTCAAGAAACCAAGCCTTGACCCTACCAATTTTAAACATCTTAGACCCATTTCTAAGGCTGCTTTCAACCCTAGAGTCGTCTCCTTTGGTCTGAATCAGGGACTCATGTTGTTCCAAAGTTGTATAATTGCCTAGAGTTGGTTCATGTTCTCACGGCAGCATTTACAAGTGGACCAGATCAAATGCCTTGTGTGAGAAAGCTGCTCTTGATTGGTCAGAATTTCCATGCAGGAAAAATCCAGGAAGTAAAGCAAACGTTGAAGAAGAGTACACTTGCAAGATAAATGTGACACTTTCTAATGTCACAATGGAGGGACAACTACGCAGGTTGATTTTAGCGCTGCTCATCGTGGACTATATTGCTGTCATTGTTCATTTTAGTCAAACCATACAGTTTGAAAACGAGGCGCGGCTCCAACTAGAAAACAATGTTTTGATGCATTGGATGTGCTGAATGTGCATATTAAGGCAGTACAGGAGGAGGTGCACATTAATAATCCTCCAGGACTGTAACATGCTCATGTTTAACCAACATAAACAATGTGTCATGTGACTGCAGTTGGTTCAGATCCAGGTCGGAACACCTTCTCACCACAAACGAACCGCACCAGAGTTTGTTTGTAACCTGACTGAGACCACCTCTTCAAGAAGGTCTCGGTCTGGTTGTTTTGGTGTGTTCACACCTGCCCAAATGAACTGCACTGAGGGGGCAAACCAACCTGAGGTTGTACAGATTTTTGGAATATGGAGCATTTGAAGATACTCCAAGAAATGACACCACAATAGGCAAAAATAACAATGTAGGCAATGTGAGACTGTTTTTCAAGTTCAAAGGGTTAAAAAGGTCCAGCTCTCTAACCGGTACAGACCATTTTAACATGGAGCACCAGAGCTTCATACTGGAGGACATAAATTCATTTTGGACTTCATTTTCAACCTCATAACAGTCTATTATAGATCTGAGAACAGTCCAGCAAACACGTCTGATGCAGGTGATGATGACTACAATGATGATGATGATGATTCTAACAGCGTCTGCTGGCAGAGTGTTCGTGACCTCCTGAACATTCACGCTGAATGTGTGCTGTCCATCACTTCCTGCTGAAGGCTCATTGCTGCTCTCAGTCGGGGTTTCCCAGCACACAGCAACCCCCCGACAGCTGTAAACTCATCCGCACTCAGATTTATGAACCACGAGCGCGTTGATTTCTCTCTGCAATCTGTTTTATGATCTTTACCAATGAGCTCTAATGTGTCCTCTCCTGTCCTCTTGTGTGTCCTCTCTTGTCCTCCTGCCTGTCCTCTTCCGTCCCTTCACTTTCTCCTCCTCTCCTCCGCTTTCTGTCTCCATTCGGTCTCTTTTTTCTTTTCCTCTCTTCATCCATGCCTGTGTGTGTCATCTTGTCGTCCCTTCTTCCTTGTTTCCTTTCTTCCTCTTTATTTACTCTTCTGTTTCACTCCTCTCCTCTCTACTCTCGTCTTGTCCTCCCCTCTTTTACTTTCCTCTTCTCCCCCACTTGCTTCCATCCCCTCATTTTCTCTTCTCCGTATTCCCTCTTCATCTTTCGCTTGCTCCTTTCTTCCTACTCTTCTTCATTTCCTCTACTTGTGTCCTTACTTGCTCTCCTTGTATCCTCTCCTTGTTTCATCATTTCCTTTCCCTCCCTCCTGTACTTTTCTCTTTTCTATTATATTTCCTTGTCTCCATTGTGTCCTTGTTTCCTCCTCTTTCGTCTCCTCTCCTTGTTTCCTCCTCTTTCCTCCCTAATTCCTTGTGTCCTTGTTTTCTCCTCCTCCTCCTCCTCCTCCTCCTCCTCCCAGGGTCACAGGGACAACACTAACGTCACCTTGGTGAACTGCGTGCCCTACCCGCTGTCCAATCAGATGCATCCTAAGATCCACTCAGTGATGATCTTCCTGGTTTACTTCCTGATCCCTCTGACCATCATCTCGGTGTATTATTACCACATCGCCCGCACGCTCATCAAGAGCGCCCACGACATGCCGGGAGAGGTCAGCGAACACACCAAGAGACAGGTGAGCGACAGATGGATGAATGAACTGATGAATGAACACATGAGCTGACAAAGTGCCACTCAGCGGGTTTTCACTTTCACCAAACAGCCGTTCATTTCACTGACAGTTTGCAGAGCAGCTGCTGTGTTGAAGACTTTATAAAGGAGGACGGTTTTTATATTAAAATCTGAAACAGATAAAAGTGAAACAACAAAAACAAAATGTTCGGCTCCGTCTGTGATTTGGGACTCTTGCAACAGACAAAGAATCTGGAAGTTTTTAGTTTACGGTGGATCGACTCGGACGTGAAGCTTTTTGCACCCACACCTCCACCCTGCTGCTAAAGAGGCCTGGGTAAATATTTCAGCCATGAGGGAGGTTTAGTGGAGGACTGTGTCAGCTGGAGAGAGTAATCACTTTACACCAGCTTGATCTTCACAGATGGACGAGAGGTCAGAGTGAGGAGTGGGCTGAATTATTAAAGACTCGACAGCAGCAGGTCAGATCAGGTGGATGGAGCGGCACAGCTGGGAGTGACTGCTGTGTCTCTGGGGATTACCTCCATGATAATCATGTCAGTATAATGTACAGCTCCACAGCGCAGAGACGAGTCACAGTCACCAAACTGCTGCTCCCAGCTCCCTCTTTTAACACAAGTTTTTTATTTACAGGTGTTTCTAATTTGCTGTCTTTATATTACTGCTAAGATACTTCAAATACACTCAGCACTTCCTGCTGATTTTTCACATTAATCTTGTACTCCACCCTCATTTTGTAGCAAAAACGCCTAAAATGACATACCCAAATTAAAATGACTAGCTTCTGAACCGCTCTGACTACATGCATGCATGAGGTCTTGCCAGAAAGAAAACTCTCTGAAGTTTCTTGTGAAAGTGTCAGAAACACTCTAGGTGATACAGAGACAGAGTAATGGGCCTCTGAAGTCAGTAAAAAAATTGAAGATTTTGCCGAAAATAAAATAAAATAAAAAATGTGTTTCAGGATTAATAACTGTCTGTGGCTTCATCTGAGCAGGTAAATGACACTGTTGGGCTGTAGGCACACTATCAATGAACATTTGTTACAAATTTGAAGAAGACTGCTCAAAGTATGACCATTCTACAGTGTTTTTTCCATGAAAAGATCCAGGCGGAGCTCCAAATGACAAGTCGGTCACTCTGCTTCAAAACAGTACTATCAGTGATCAAACAACACTCAGCCAGCTTCAAACATTGTACCTTATTGAAATCAGGTGTGATTATGATAGCTGATGTTGTTTATGACACAGAAACACCATAAAATATCACCAAATAAAGCCATATGAAACGTGAAAGTTATGATCCCACTTTCTAGACGGTATATCTCAGCCAAAAATAGTGCTAGGAGTGAGACTCTTACCTTTTATAAAAGAGCTAAGTCCCCACTAACAGCTCCGCATAAGATCGCGAGTAATCCTTTAACTTTTCCCGTCGAAAAATGGCATGACATGACTTGTCACCACTCATCGCGATTTTGGACTTTGTATGTTTAGGCTGCTCTGGTGCGAAATCCATAAGAAATGAAAGAAAAATTATGTTATTTTTGAAAAGTCAAGAGCTTGGAAACTGTACCTTGACTTTTGACAACAGACTCAAAAAGACTCTTAATAGTAGAGGTAGTGTCTGTAGGTAAAGGTGTAGTCTTATATTAATTGTTATTATTATTCGACTTGCTCTGCTCCTTTCAGCCCATTAACTGAAGGCGTCACCCTAACAACACATAAATACTGCAGGGAAAGTCGTCTCAGTGACATCTCTGCTGCAGCCTGTGTGGCTCTGCATGTCTGAGGGGACACTTTGCAGTGAGGTTGACCTCGACAAACTCGGGGTTAATGGAGAGTCGCTGACCAACACACGGTGAATCAACTGCTGACGCTGAGAGCTGAGAGCTGAGAGAAGAGGATGGTCATCAGAGATGCTCACTGAGACATGAAAAACACACTCTGATGGTCAGTGTATGAAGTACGGACGCTTGTTCTCTACTGCAGATAACAACCTCATCTCTGTCTGTTCCATTAGCATTCATATTGACAGGAAGTAAATAGAGTAAATCCCCAAAATATCCCTGTGAGACTGTGAAGATCACTGAGAGCAACATGTCCCAATGAGAGATGGTTTGGTCTGTAGGTCTTTTCCTGGTTTGGTTTGGCCCACTAAGCTCCAGTAAAAGGAAATCTTAATGCTGCAGCATATCATGAGATTTTACACAGTCGTGTTCCTCTAACTTTGTGGCTGCTGTTTAAAGGAGAGCTTTTCCTGTTTAAATGACAGACTGTAAATGAGACCCCGAATCATTTGGCACTAATTGACCTATGGCTAAGCCCCGCCCTCAAACGCGATGAGCCAATCACAGTGTGTATAGCCATTCCCATACACTTGGACATTCTTTCAAAATAAAAGCACTACGTCGGTACAACAGATTGTTTTTCTGATGCTGCCAGGTGCCATTACACAATAATGCCAACCAGCTGCATACCACGGCAACATGAAAGGACAGGAAGGAAGTAACTGACCAAACGCCAGTTCTCCACAACTTTGGCGTCAGAATGCGTTGGCTAAGCTATTACAATTGATCTATCGCTAAGTCCCGCCCTCAAATGCGATGAGCCAATCACAGTGCGTATAGCCATTCCCATACACTCGGACATTCTCTGCCTGGACGTCCATTGAAATGCATTACAGAAAGTCAGTTTTGTTCGGTTTTATGAGCTTTTTCTGAGTTTTGAAGTTTAGAAATGGTCAAACAGTGTGCATGGGGTACATGCACCTCCGACACAAGGTATCCTGAGAGGCTGGGCGACGAGGTGTATTTTTTACACTTTAAACCACATCTCAACCAAGAAAAGTGTCTCCTTTGGATAAAGTTGTGTGGTAACGTTAGACCACAACATCAACTCAACGTGAATAAGATTAACAATGATGTCTACATCTGTTCTAAGGTAAGTCAACATCGTGTTTGAGGCAACATATTGTCACTTTGCTGGAAAGAAATATAAAGTTATCTTTAACATCTCTAGCTAACGTTAGCTAAAGTTAGCCTAACGTTAGCTCCTAGCTGCGTTGTTCATCATGTCGCCTTGTTTGCTGGGAGTTCATTAGCCTATTTTGTTCTAGTTTTGTACTTTGGTGATTGTACATCATTGTTAGCTGTTGTCCAAAGAGCTCTAGTTAAGCTAACGTTAACTTCTGGAGCTTAGCTTCATTAACTTATCTGTAATGGCAGAGATAACAAAGGTTGGCAAACGTTATGCTGAATGATTCAGTGTAAATACTGTAGCACCAAACTAACGGAGAGACACTCTTGGTAAAGATGGTAAAAAGGCCGTTATCCTTTTCTCATATTCTGAGCCAAAAACCTTAACTTCAGTGGCACTTTAACTTGTTGTCTTTGATGGTGACGGCAACGAGATGCGGTTCACAAGCGTACACTGACCTGTAAATTTTGGCTTGTAATTTAAGCTTTTCATCGACCTTCTCAACAATAAAATGATGAATATATCCCTCCAATGCGTAGTTTAGGCCCTTTTGGTTACTTCTCAATGACATCTGATCATTATGTCCCCAAAAATCATCAATTGCCTCCTGTGAAATGCCGTGTACTGTGACACCTGCCATAGCGCCGGTCACTGAATGTTGATAGTTTGTCCGAGTGAGTGGAGGGGGGCGTGGCTTAGCCATAGGTCAATTGCAGGTAAAAAGGAGTCAGTCTTTATTACATGCTCACAGGCAAATATATACAGTTAACATATACATGAAGAGTAAAGCTTCCAATAATGAATGATCGATCTATATATATATACACACACATTTGAGTAAATGGAGCAAATATGTCAAAGAAATCCCTCTGAAACTGCTTTCAAACACAGCACAGCTATTTGTAAGCAATTTGTTTCTAATATGTTCCATACTACAAAATCATTTCCAGGAAACTTTCAACAAATTAAAGAATAAATTGTTTGGAAATGACAGAGCCAGAAAGTAAAGTGTTAAATGAAGGTTTTCTCAGTTTGATGTGGAAGAACTTGACTTCAGTCACCCTCCTTATTTATATATCCATCTGAAAAATGCTGGAAGCCATAGTCTGCACTCTGTGACATATTCACAAGACCTGTTCTTGCCATTTGTTCCTAACATTTGTCTTGAAATAGGAAAAAGGGTTAGCTTGGATTCTGCTGCACGCTGATTTGGGAATTATAGGATTATAAATTGTAGATGTTATGACTGAATATCTGCCTCCATCTGATCCAGGATGTGTTGACCTGACTTGTGATTGTGACTTGTGAGGGAGATTTTTAATCACAGTGAGGCCTTTTCTGGTTAAAAAAGCTTTTATACCTCTGGTACTAACTGGACTGTGAGCCAGACGTGATCACCAACGTCACTGTTGGACCTCACTGATGCTGTGCGGTCTGAATGGGGTCAAATCTCTGCAGCTGGTTCAACATGTGGAAGAAAGACTGCAGAGTGGAGGCTCTCAGAGCAGCGGCACGTGGTTTTGGATTAGGAACCTTTAAAACAGGTCACGGTAAAAAGATAGGAACATATCCTGCCCGACATGTACAGAAACAAATCCAATGTTAATCGTCTCCTCCCTTCTTCTGTCCTCCTCCCTCGACATCATGTCTGTGTGGCATCTGATTCATCTCATCACAGTTAAATCCCTCTGTCTCCTCGTGGGGCAGCGATACTATCAGTACTTTCTTAAATGATAAAAGCTTCATCACTCGTCGATCAGTATCTTCACGTCTGTGGAGGTTGGAAGCCAATTGCTCCATTAACTGCAGACGCCCACATCAATACCAAACACGCCCACTGTCTTATCTGAGAGCGCAGCTAATTCATTATGTTAGCAGAGATAAGACATGCATCAGAGCGAGCCCACACACACACACACACACACACATTTCAGAGCACATCATTGATCAGAAAATCACTCAGAGTTAGTTTTTGTTGTTTTACTTTATTTATTTATCAGCTTGTTTG